TTCATGAGGTTTCAAGTTTGGTGTTCCCCATTATGACCTGATAGCTGTCTCTACCCTCTACCTAGCCTTTGCTGGAAAGCTAAGATGAGACAAATTGCAGACTTAAATCTCTCCCTTGATTACTCTGATCTTGTTTTTCCTTCACTTCTAATCTAGTCCAATCTAATCCAACAAGGGTTCATTATGAGCCCACCATGTGCAGGGTGTTGTGCTAGGCCCTGGAGATAGAAAGACAAAATGAAAATGGTCCCTGCCCTCAAAGAGACTGTGTTCTATTGACTCCTTTCTGCTACCTCCCATACTTGCCCAGTCCATCTCAGTTCCCTCCTTTTCCATCCTATCTTGGTCCCTCCCATCATCAGAGGATTAGAAATCTTGCCACATGGGATCAATAGAAGGAAGTGGGGATGTTTAGCCTGGAAAAGAGAGGACACATGGGAACATAATAGCAAGCTTCTAGCTAGGTGACACCAGAGTACCAGGTCTGGAGTTAGGAAGACTCATCTTCCTGAGTTCAAATCTGGCTTCAGAAAGATAGCTGTGTGACCCTGGACAAGTCATGTAACACTGTTTCATCTGTCAAATGAGCTGGAGAAGGAAATGGCAAACTACTCCAGTATCTTTGTCAAAAAAACCCCAAATGGGGTCGTGAAGAGTTGGACACGACTAAAATGACTGAATGACAAGTAACTGGAAGGGCTGCCGTGTGAGAGAAGAATTAGACTTGTTTTGCTTAGCCCCACAAGCCAGAATTTGGAGCAATAAGTGAAAATTGCAGAGACAGGATTTTAAGTTGTTACATAAGGAAAAAATTCTTAATAACTAGAAGATGTTTAAAAGTGGAATGGGTCATCTGGGAGTGCAGCGGAGAAAACACTGAGCCTGGAGTCAGGAAGTCCTGAGTTCAAATCTGGCCTCAGATACTTACTAGCTGTGTGACTCTGGGCAAGTCACTTAACCTCTGTTTGCCTCAGTTTCCTTAACTGTAAATTGAGGACAATATAACACTACCTACTTCTCATGGTTGTTTCAAGGATCAAATAAGATAATATTTGCAAAAAACACTTAGCCCAGTGCCTAGCTAAATACATGCTTATTCCCTTTCATTTCATCTTGCTTTTCCCTGACTCTAGGAAGTAATGGTTCTCCATTGCTGTTGAGCTTCAAGCAGAGACTGGCTATGTGCTGTAGGAAGGGGTCCTGCTCTAGCATGGACTGAATTAGAAAATCTCTGAGGTGCCCACCAACTCGGAGATTCTATGACCTCTTGCCTTCCCAACACTGAATCTAGTTAGTGTTGGATAGGGTAAAAAGGACTAAATCCTACCAAATTGCAACAGCAGTCTCTGTATCCTTAGCATGTCAGGCACTGTGTCTGTCTGTGGCTTTTGCTCTGGGAACAGTAATCCAATCAATATTACAATTCCTGGAAAGGACATGTCAGTAAATTATCCTATGATTCCATTCACTATCCCTGTGAGTTTACAGACCAAAACCCTGGCTACCACTTCCATATTTCTCTGTTTCTCCCTATCAATCTACCTTCTTATCTATCTCTCTAATCCTATTAGAATGTAAGCTCCTTGAGGGCAAAGACTGTTTTTGCATTTTATTTTTGTATCCCCAGTGCTTATCATAATGCCTGAAACACTGTAGCCACTTCATACTTGCTTTATATTTATTTATCTGAACGGAGTTCCTTCTGGTGGTTTTTCAGGGAGAGATTTTCTGTTGGCACTCACCATCCTCTTTGCCTTTCAGGGGGCCCTGACATATTACGGTTGAGATGAAGCTGGACTGAAGCAGCCTCAAGACAACAGACAGTAGGATGCCCAAATGTGAGGCCCACCGGGCATGTTCCCAACCTCTAGAGCATTGTGGAAATCTCTCCTGGGATGGGCCCTTGAATTCCTTTCATCCATTGTAATACATTTAATAAATTGAGTTCAAAGCAGATCTTATGATAATGTCTATCCTGTGATTGTACCGGATTGGGCTCCCCCATAAATACTCAGCTGTTAAGAGTTCTGCATAGAGCACTGAATGGAATCAATCCAATCAATCAATCAATGAATCAAGGATTGATTTAAGTTCTACATGCCAGGTCTGGGCTACGCACTGAGGACACCAAGACAAAAGCAAAATAGTCTTTGCCTTCAAGGAGCTTCTGCTCTATAGGTGGGGACAACATACAAGAGAGATACAAACACACACGGAGTGATTTGTCATGGAGAAAGACAGTCCAGCTGGGGTGGGGGGAGGTGGGGATCCCGAAAGGCCTCATGTAGAGGGTGCTTAAACTTGGTCTTGATTATAAGAGGCAGAGGGGAAGAGGCAGTGAATTCCACATGTAGGGCCAGTCAGTACAAAGAGGTGTAAATGAAGAATGTCCCTGTTTGTGAGGGGGAGTAATATGTAATAATGCTGGAAAGGAAGTTGGGCAAGGCTGTGAAGGATGAAGAGTTAATGGAGGAGTTTTTATTGGTTCCTAATGGTGATAGGAAGACACTAGAATTTATTGAGTAGAGGAGTGACATGGTTAGACCTAGACTTTAGGAAAATTCCTTTGGTAGCTGTGCGGAGGGTTCCACCTAACAGTCATGTTTCTTCATATCCAGGCTCCCTGAAATACTTTCTGAGGGTCACGCAGCAGTTGCTCCCTCATACAAGGCAGATTATAGTTTGCATCAAATATTGGCCTAGATTTGGGACAGTTTCAGTCATCTGACTAGTCCTTGTGTTTCTGTATGTTGGAGTTTTCAAGGTTAAGTGAACACATAGTAGCTTCATCAGGGTGATGAGCACATAACCAGGGTGGGACAACCAGGTCTTTGCCACAGGGTACTGACATCTAGGTGGGGCACATTTTCTTTCTTGACAATTCTCTGGCCTACCATCCCTATGGTCTACTCCCTTCTTCATCCTCAGATCAAAGGACTCCTCTACTAGAGTCCACATTCCTTCCTGCCTGTTCCTGAGGGTTGTAGAGTTTAGGACTATGCCTCAGGGGAGCAGGATGGATTCCCCATCAGAAACAGCCCTCCCGCCACGAATACCGCTAGAGTAGGTTATTCTCTGTGTTGCGCCCCTAAATGAATTTGCCATGTGCACAAAAAAATTCCTAGTGCAGCCCAGACTTGCCCTGCCTCAGGGTCCCTGAAAAGTTCAAAGAATACTTTAGGCTACCATCTACTCAAAACCATAGCCCATGAGCCCCCAACAATGTTCACTTTACCAGACTAACCAGATGATACATTCATTCAAACAAAATGTTTAAATAGCAAAGCAAAATAAATTACCTGTAAATTCTACTTCCCTAACCCATATAGAGAGAGGTATATTTCCCTATGAATCATCATACCATTGTCCAGGATTTCATGCATAGCCTCAGGCACCTTGTAATATTAAGGCTGCATTCCAACTGTCTGGAGCTCTTTTATGTTTCTGCTGGCTGTTTCGTTGCATAATCTCTGGTGTCATTAGGTGGAAGGAGGGAGGCTGAAATCTGGCTCTGTGGTCCTCCACAGTGAACTCTGCCCTGGTTGCTTGCCTCAGGTTAATGACTTTATTTACTGCCACCTACTGGTTGTATCCTGAATTGCAGCTGATTTACCGCCTTCACAGGAAGGGGCCTCAGCTCTTTTAGCTCTAGACGATTATTTCTGTTCCTTTTATGAGTTCAGGCCCATAGCCCCACCCAGCCGTACACAAATGATAATACGAGTCTATAAGCTTAGATTTGGTCTGTCTTTGGAGCTCTTTTGTTTCTGCCTCAGCTACCAATCCTTGATCTATTATTTCATTCAGGGTGAGAAAAATTTCTTTTGACCACCATCATGCTCCTTGTGGTCCATGTGAAACACCTGGGAGCTTTATTTAGCAAGACTAAAAATAGCTGGGTGGCTCTTGTGATCTTTTGTCCTGAATTCTTGACAGTAACAGAGTTGCTGCCCTCCCTACACTCTTCCTTCAGTAAAGATTTTGTGGTCCTGACAAATAACACCTGGTGCACAGATAGAACTTGTAGGTGCCAACAATAACAGATATCAGTTTTCACATAATGCAGACATAGATATCCACCCCAAACACCTGGCAATACATGCCAGTATATAGTACTTAAACCCACATTAAAATTATAGCAATAAACAAAATATATGGGTCACATGCAGAAAAACAATATACAGAACAAATCACAATTGCATATTATAGACAAACATAGGTCATATGTACAATGCATAACATCACAAATAACATATCAGGACACATCATTGTTGCATCAATAGACCAAATATTTAGGTCACATAACACATATAACATTAGGTAACATTCAGAGCCCACTAGATCAATGTAGGACTTCTTTATCCTCTAATCACCTCACCTTGAGACCTGCTTGCCTAGAGACTACCATGGTGTTGGCAAACAGAAAACACTGGATAGTACAGGTATCATTTATCTCCTACCCACCCCACCCTGAACTCTGCTGGCCCAGAGGCCACCAGAGAAGTAGTAAGAGTCCTTCTATCAATGACCCCAATGCAAACCCTGCCCACCTCTATCCCACCAGGATCTCCCCTTCCCAACAGTGCCCCTTAAGAACCATTCAGCCCTTCTATCCACCCTACAGATGATCTTTCCTTTATTTTCTCCCTCAAATAGAACATGAGATCTTTCAGAGTAGGGACTGTCTCACTTTTCTATTCGTATTCTCAGGGCTTAGCATCATTCTTGGTGCACAATCATTTTTTTTTACTAAAGCTTTTACACTTTCCATTTCATATTCTACTTACATACATTGTATACATTACATATACTCTATCAATAGGTATGGTATGCCTCATTTTCCTGACTTAATCAAAGCATTTTTATTACTTAATTTTTTATTACTTGTGTACATAAGGGAGATTTGAACCATAGATATACAAGCAGGTCTCATAGTTGTGTTCTCCAAACAAGAGGAGTATGGTACGTTGATATAACAACAATATTAATAATAATAACAGTAGTAGTAACAACAACAACAACTAACATTTACATAGTACTTACTATGTTCCAGGGTTCTGTGCTAAGCATTTTATAATCATTATCTCATTTGATCTTTACAACAACCTGGAAGGTAGGGGCTATTATGACTCCCATTTTATAGATGAGGAAACTGAGGCAAACTGAGATTAAATCACTTGCCCAGGGTCACATAGCTACTAAGTGTCTGTCATCACATTTGAACTCATATTCCTAAATTTCAGCTCAGCACTCTGTCCACTGAGCCACCTAGCTGCCAATCTATATTCTTAAAGCTAGGCTGAAGAGAGGAATAATAAATTGGGGATGGTATAGAGCTGAAGGATGAATGAGAAGAGAAGTAAAATAGTAGAGTGTTTAGAAAGGGAAGTACCAAATTAGGAAATTGAAGAATGTGTGATTAATGAGATGGTGACCAAGTTATGACTGGAATGTTTCTAGGAACAAAGTGAGCAGGTATTCTCCACTGTCTTGCCCAGGGACAGCATTTTTTCCCGTAAGTATACATTTCCATACAGCTTCTTCATGTTAGCAATAGCTAGTCTACCCACAGGCCTTTGCAGTGATGCCAAGCTTTCTAGAAGCACAGCTAATTAGACAGGTCGAGGGTCCTGCTTCCACACTTGCCAGTATCCAGTCTTGGGACTCTGTCAGTGACCTGCTGTCAGTCCTGAACCTCGAGGATCACCAGATCTACTGGCCTGAATTCCTAATGCTGAGCTCTGAAACAGTGCAGGTCCGCCATCAATGCTTCTATCCTTCAATGAGAGAAGCTCTCTTTGTACCTTCAGAACTAGAATATTAGGCAGGGAAGGAGAGGCCTCTGGATTCAACCTTTCTCTCTCGTCTGGCTGAGGTCTTCCTGAGGCTGAGGCTCTCTCACTTGACTTTCCACATACTTTAGAAAGTGCTAGTGGGTAATTTTGTTTTCATGCAAACCACTCTCCAGATCTTTCTAGATACCACTGTCACCTACTTTTGACATTTAGTTGCAATTGAGGAAAGGGTGCTTCTTAGAGTTTGGCTGGCTGGTTATCTGTTATTTGTTTTCCTTCTGGATGGCCAGAGAGTCTGACCAACTCAGTTATGTCAGTCAACAAACATTTATTGAGCACCTACTATGTGCAAGGCACTATCTTAAGTGCTGGGGATACAAAGAAGGGCAAAAACAGCCCCTGTCTTTGAGGAGTTTACATTCTAACGTGAAAGGCAACATGTAAATAACTCGATACTTACAAGTTATATACAGAGTAGACAGAAGACAATCTGAGAGGGGAAGGCTCTAGCAGCTTGCTGTGGTACAGGAGGCTAAAACCAGGAAAAGCCTCATGTAAAATGTGAGAGTTGATCTGGGTCTTGAAAGAAGCCTGGGAAACTGAGAAGCAGAGTGTGGGAAGCAGAGCATAAGGCAGTGATGGGAGATGTATAGAGTATAGTCTGTGAATAATGACAGGCAGTAGAGGGTTGCAATGTACACTTTGCAGAGTCCCAATTGTTCTATGAGGCTATTTTGTAGATTGGCAGATTGTCCAATTTTTCAACTATTTGGCATGCAGTGGCTCTACATTATTCTGCTATTCTGCTTTTCTCTGAGATATCTAGATTTCACAGAAGCACACTATCCCCCTGGAGCCCTGGATAGTGAACTCAGGCCTCATACAAAGCATGCTTCTGCTTTTCTGAGCTGAGGCTCTAAGTAGGCATTAAGTCTCATCCAAGAGACAGGCTTGTTGTGATGTCATCTGCATCTTCTGAGGAGGCAAAGCACAAATCAGTGGAGGACCATCGTTATTATTCCAACAATAGCAGCTCCCATAGGTTCAATAACAATTTCTATGTAGATGATTCTCAGACCTATATATCCAGACCTCACCTTTCCTGAGCTCTAGTCCCACATCATCAACTACCCTTTGGACATGTCTAACTGGATGTCTTGTAGGCA